GCCTTGAGTCTGAAAGAGAGATGGTTTAAATCAGAGTCATTCTCAAGACTGGGACTTCCCTGTAGCTCAAACAGTAAAGAATCTGCCTGCAATGCAGGGGACCTGGGTTCAATCCCTGGGTTGGGAAGATCCTCTGGAGATGGGAATGGCAATCCACTCCAGTATTCTTGCCTGGAGAATCCCATGGACAGAGAAGCCTAGCAGGTTACAGTCTGTGGGATCTCAAAGAATCGGACATGACTGAGCTACTAACACACATTCTCAAGACTTTAAATCAGGCTCTCAAGGGCTTACCTTCTTTGCTTATGTGAACATTTAAAGTAAGTTGAATGTATCCCCATGTATTAAGGAAGTCTCAGACTCTGGATTTATTCATGACTAAGTTACTGCTATATTAAAGTTGTTTGGTAACATCTTCAGGCTCAGTTTTTCCCATCTGAAAAATGGATTCATATCATAAATCTATTTTCTATCTTGTAGGCATCTCTTACCTTATATGAATGAAGCCATAATAAATCAACATGTAAGGAGGACAGAGTGTATAGTTGTGTTGATTGAAAATGGGAGAGGGAGCAGGTAGATTTAATATTATCATTAGTCACGACTTGAGCCATACTTAGCAGTTTTAGAATCATGTTTAAGAATCCTGTCTGTATTAGAAGTAGTTGAAAAGTTTTTTGGTTTTTTTTTTTAATTCTTAGGCTCCACTCCTAATATTCTGATGCAGTTGATATGGAGTAGGATCTGATGCTCAGATTAAGGAGATTCTATTGTGAGGCTAAGTCTGAGAACCACTGTCTTAGGACAGCGTTGGTAATGCAGAGAAGGTGGGAAATGCTATGATATTAGGTGGGTCTTGGTTGTGACCAAGAGCTAAGCCCAGCTCTGTATTCTGGAAGCACTGAAGTGACAGACGTTCAGTGGGTTTCACAGCAGGGTCCTGGTGTGGGGGCAGAACCCTTGGACAGAAGCTAAGAATCACGAACATCAGGGAACAGTGGAGCAGAGGAGCCCTTTAAATCCTCCTCCTCCTCACTGTGTGAACTCTGACAATTTCCTTGTCTCTGGGCTTCAGTTTCACTATCCGTTAAGTGAACAGGTTAGATTAGACAAGCTCAGGGTGTCTTCCAGCGCTGTTCTTCTAGGACCGTGAAACAGGTTCCAGGCAGCAGAGGAAAGAGAGCTTGGCATCCCTGCTGGTGTTCTGCGCTCACTCCTTGCCTGAAGCCGTTCAGCAGCTCTCTCTGTGGCTGACCGAAGGCCAGCCTTGAGCAACAGCTGAATCTCCATCCCTGGGGCCTCCGTTTACCCAGCCTTCCCGGCAGGATGAAAGCTTGCCTGCAGTTCTTATGAAGGCAGCCCATGTGAATTGCAGGAGTCACCTCTGAGTGATCTCTCTGCTCCACGGCAGCACACGGCCTGATGCTAGCTGCAGAGGAAGTGGTGGAATGTGGAAGTTTACATGATGTCAGCGCATATGCATCCTCCTGTCCTGAACCCGGAGCCTAGCCCTCCGCTCCTGTGCCATGCGGCTCCTGGCCCTCCCCTTCTCGAGAGCCTCAGGCTGCTTGGGAGTCCCCTGCTCCATGTTTCCCGAGAGGATGGGCATCTGAGTAGGACTGAAAGAACTGGTCAAAACAACAACAACAAAAATGATTATTGCTTGCATCCTCCACAGTAGGTTCGGTATTGTGATGTCACATTCCATGTCTCGAGGCTCAGACTGACCAAGATTCATTGGGAAAGAATGGCTCTGGTCTGAATGTTTGCTTTCCTTCCACCCAAAATTCATATGTAGAAATCTTCAGCCCTAAAGATGATGGTAATAGGAGATGTGGCCTATGGGAAGTAAGTCGTGAGGCTGGAGCCCTTGAGAATGGGATTAATGTTTTACAAAAGAGGCTCCATGGAGCTCCCTATGGAGCTTCTTCCATATATGCGTACAACTGGAAGACTGCAGCCCAGAAAAAGACCTCACCTGAACTTGATCTCAGCCTCCAGCCTCCAGAATTGTGACAAATAAATGCCACCCCATCTGTGGAATTTTGTTAGATGAAGACAGGACTTACCCCAGGCAATCCCCTAATACAAAGTCTCCTAACCCGTGCACAAACAGATGGAAGACCATCAAGCCTGCCTCACACACAGGAGAAAACGTGCCATGCTCGAGGCAGTGAGGAAGTGAAAAATGTTGGTGGGAAGAGGGCAAGGGGTTTGAAAGTGCATTTTGCAGACTTTTGAAGTTCTCAGCACCTATGCAGGGAGAAGAAAGGAGACAGTAAAGGGGGTAGCGACGGGGAAAAGGCAGATTCCTTAGATCCTGCCCATGGCAGGGCTTTGAAAGTAACACTGGGAGCTCCAGGGTCCAACAGAGTTGACATAGGTCAGTCTGGGTTTGCCTTCCAGAAACTGGCTCCCAGATCCAGGTGAGCTGGAGCTACACTGCTATGCATCTTGTAGGTGGTCTTTTGGGGCTTTGACGACACTGGCCTCAGACTCCAGATCTTCTTCCCTGGCCCTTCCTTGGACTCGAGGGTCTGAGGTCCTGGAGAAACTCTTTGTGTTCTCCTTATGTGGAGGGTGGCACCAGAGCAAGTAGGGGCAGCTTCGGCAAGCCAGATGTCCTCGACTGTGAAGAGGTATTGAGACACTGGCTTCCGAAGCTGGACCGGCTGCTCTCTGATCATGTGGTTCTGGCAAAAGGCATGAAGAGGCATGATCTGACCAGGAGGCGCTTGGCATTCAAATGTGGGCCAGCAAGTTTCTATAATGTGGACCCCCAAACAAACGGGCTTCAGGGCTTCCTCTCTGCACCTGCAGACAAATGTTCCCTTTGGAACTATGAAGCTGGCTACTTTCACACTCAAGTCTGTATTATCATCCAGAGGGTCCATGTCAGGAACCCACGGGAGAACATGGCACACGTGCCTGGCAGAACTACAGACACACATCAGTGGACATTAAGCATTCAGGAAGTATTTCTACATTTGCTACTCTGTAATTGAAAAACAAATCCTAGGAAATCAAATATTTAACTGCTTTACTTAATAATGTTCCAAATCAGTCTCCCTGCCCTCAATGGGCTGTAAGCAGGCCTCTCCTAGGAGCTCCACAGGTCATCCTTGTCCTCCATCCGTCTGGTCCTCAGGATGCTGGAGGTGGGAGGAGCAGGGCCTGAGTAGTAGGACTAGGAAACAGCTCCTGTCCAGGCCTTTCACTCTGTGAGGGATATGATGACCAGAGTGAAGAAAATACAGAAAAGAGGAAGAAAAGGGAAAAAATGAAGGGAGAAAAAGAAATAATGAGGAGACACAGAAGGGGAAGGCTAAACTCTCACTGTGAATAACTGGAGATTCCAAATCACTAATTCAGCTATGTGTCTTCCAGAATTCAAGCATATTTATGGAGTAATGGATGAAATATGTAATATGAGTACAGGTAACACCTGCTGGGAAATTGGGCTAGGGGCTTCCAGAGCTGAAAGCACATTTGAGAATATTTACTTAGGTTTGTTTTTATCTCATCCTTATTCAGTTTCTTCCTGTGTATGTTTTGTGATATACATGATAGATTAATATAGTAGTATGTGTATATCATTTATAAATAAATAAACATACTTATTGTTGAGAAGGATGGACTTCCCTGGCTGCTCAGATGGTAAAGAATTAGTATGCAATGTAGGAGACCCGGGTTTGACCCCTGGGTTGGGAAGATCCCCTGGAGGAGGGAATGCCAATCCACTCCAGCATTCTTGCCTGGAGAATTCCATGGCCAGAGGAGCTTGGCAGGCTATAGTCCATGGGTTTGCAAAAATAGGACACGACTGAGTGACTAATATTTATACTTTTCATATTGAGGAAGGTATGCTCAAATATTTTCTATTGATGGGGTACATGATCAAAAGAGTTTAGAGACCACTCAACTAGAATGATGACAAAAACCATTAAAGACTCCACCACACTTCCTAGGAAGGCCTGGGGCCTCACTAGGGGCCTCTGCCAGGTTGGCTTAATATAGAAGGAAAAGTCAACTCTGAGCTGGGAAAGCCCTAGCTTTCTCTAGTGCCTCGGGATCGTTAAAAGAATAAAATCATATGCATTTTGGTGAAACAGGAAAAATATTATTATATTACTGTTACTATCTAAACTCACAACCAGTGTCTAAAAAAAGTTGTATCATCGTGGGCCTGCCCTATGCAATCGCAGCCCCTGAAATGCAAGTGGAATTGGAACACAGCCCACGTCCTGCGCATAATGTGCCTGGAGAGGGGTGTCTCTGCCCCCAGGAAGGGGAGTCATTTGCTCTCATAAAGGTGTTGCATGGATTACCAACAGCTCTGCTGCTTCTTTTTTTCCCCTTTATTTGAATATAATTTTCTAATGGGTTTTGCTTTCATAAATACAGTTTATTGCTTGGTTTGTCTTTGCCTAACACGAATTTTGAGTTTCCAGCCCTGGAGAGTGTGCCTCATGGTCGGGGTGGCAGAATGGGGTCCTGGCTTCAGCAGGTGCAGCCCTTCAAAACACAGTTCCCCTCCCCCAAGGCAGAGAACTCAAAAGCTGAATATTATTTTTGGCCCCTGTGTCTCAGAGACACCCCAGTCAGACATCTGACCAAGCAAGTTGTTCCACAACGGAAACACAGCTAACACTTCAGTCCAGCCTCTGTCGGGGGCAGCCTGTTGCCTGTGGCCTGCATCAGTCTCCACTGGACATAGCCATCCAGTTGCAGAAGGTGCTGTTTCACTCAGCTGAAACCACCGTGGAATAATGCAATCCTTTCGAATACAGCCCCAGGGGCTCAAAGCTGTCCACACAAGTCCCCGCTTACTCTTATCCTCCTGCAAATGCCACTGATCTATTTATTGGGAAATGTGATGTTTTTCCCTCCAAATATCATCTCCCTCTTAGGGAGTGATGTTGCTTCCTGGCTATTGGTTAGCAGCAAGAAAAGCAGCAGTGCTGGGTCTCTGCAGGCAGTCTTTGTGGTTCCTGGGATCCTCAAGCATCAGTCTTGGGTTCCTTCATTGATCTGACAAACTCCTTGACCTCCTCTTCCAAGGCCTTGTTCCTCTTCTCCACATCCTCCCGGGAGCGTTCCACATTGCGGAGACTGATTTCCAAGGCAGCTGACTTCTTCTTCTCATTCTCCAGTTCTTCATTGAGCCTCACCACCTTAGCCCACACGTCATAATTTTCCTTCTCGAGGCTACGAAGAAGGGAAGAAAAGAATGGAATGACAAGGCATGACCTCTAGACTCTCCCTCCGGCCTTGCCCACCGCCACCCTGTCCGTTTCACCTTCCATGTCACAAGACCCGTCTCCAGCCTGTGCCTCCTGATTGTGTCCCACCCCGGACAGAAGGACTTGCCAGTAAAGCTGAACTCCCAGAACGTGTTCCTGCTCCTCTTTCATCATTTACATCCATCCTGTGACATCTCGTGTTGTTTTCCATGTCATTTTGTGTTTTGTATCTTCCACCACACTATAAAGTCTTTGAATGAAGATACCAGCTCTAATATTTACAGCCCACTAGCGCCTTACATCTGTCCTGCTCTGTGGAAGTGTTGATTGACAGCTGAATCTCACCCAGATTCTGTGTGTACAGATCCCCAGCCCCTGTGTACACACGTGTGCCTTCTTATCCTGCTCCACGCAGACCATGGACCAGAGCCTTCTCTCAGGAAGCTCCTGGAGACCAGGATTTGGAGAAGTTGGGGAGCTGCCCTTTGACAGCAATGGTCCTGCCAGCCCCACCTGTACTTCTGAATCCCACTCAAAGTGCAGGATCTGCTGGATTCCTGAATCCCCAGGATTTTCACTGTTACTGGCCAAAATCTTAGTCTCATCCCAGGTGCCTGTCTGTCCTCCTTCAGGCTGTGCTGAATTCACCCTTGAAAATGAGCGTACATATGACATTTTAAAACCACAGCAGGGAATTTCAGGCCTGTGAGGAGAATGTGATTAGAAAAGTCGCTTCAGAGTTTCCTTCTGTGAGATACTGCCTCCATGCTACCCAACGGCAGAGACATTCTTAAATGGAGACTTGAGTTCCTGTTTGAGCCCATCCCTGGGCTCCCCTGGTGCCTCAGATGGTAAGGAATCTGCCTGCAATGCAGGAGACCCATACCAGCCTGGTTCGATCCCTGTCAGGAAGATCTCCTGAAGAAGGGAATGGCAACCTCCTCCAGTATTCTTGCCTGGTGAATTCCATAGACAAAGGAGCCTGGCGGGCTACTGTCCATGGGGTCGCAAAAAGTTAAACATAACTAAGCAACTAACACTTTCACTGGCTTCTAACTTCAAGGGCCTGATCGATGCTGCACATAATGGCCTCTTATCAGAGCAGTGCCTACCTCTGCCCATTTCTTCTTCAAGCCAAATTAGACATTCCTCTGGAATCCACATTGCAGGCAGATTCTTTCCCATCTTCCCTAGTGGCGCAGACAGTAAAGAATTTACCTGCAACGTGGGAGACCCAGGTTTGATCCCTGACTTGGGAAGATACTTGGCAGGAGGAAATGGCAACCCACTCCAGTATTCTTGTCTAGGAAACCCCATGAACAGAGGAGTCTGCTGGGTTACAGTCCATGGGGTTGCAAAGAGTCAGACATGACCGACTAACACTTACTTTCTGGAATCCTACTCATCACAAATCTAGTTTTCTTCTCAGAGTTCTCCGCATCCCTCTTGTTTAGAGGGCAACCTCACGAGACAGTGCTAGATCTTGACCACTGATTCCAGTGGTGGGGAGGTAGAATCTGAGTGGGCTTGGGAGTGTGGCTGACCCGGGTTCAAATCTCAGCCCCATCAATGATTAGCTATGCAACCTTTAGGAACCGTTTTATATTTCCCAAACTCTTATTTCTTCTGTAAAATGAGGGTATTACCTATTTCACCTGATTACTGAAGGGATTATGTGAGAAGGGATGTCTGAAGTGTGAAGATTAGAGTAAGTATTATAGACTGTGAGTCCTCTTTCCTCTCCCTTGGAGGAGTTGGGAGCCCCCACCCCCTGCCCAATTTTGGATTCAGAAGACTTTGTTCCCTTCAGGAGGAGTGGCCATCTTAATAAATATTTGCAGAGTTGGTGAATGACATTAATACAAAAAAATTTAAAAATTTCTCTTAATGTTTTAAGGCAAATGCGTGAGACTCTTTGTGATCCCATGGACTGTAGTCCTCTAGGCTCCTGTGTCCATGGAATTTTCCAGGCAAGAATACTGGAGTGGGTTGCCATTTCCTCCTCCAGGAAATCTTTCCAACCCACGGATCGAATCTGCCTCCCATGTGTCTCCTGCATTGGCAGGCACATTCTTTACCACTATTCCACCTGGGAAGCTCGTATTAAGCATGTTGATGCTTAAAGAATCACTTTGTGGAAATAGCTGGTTAAGCTACTTAAGCTACATACTTACTTTTCCATGAATTTAATCTAAAGTTTAGTGTTTTCACTAATTTGGCCATCTCCTCAATCCCTTTGCCCTTGTTCTTCATTAGGCCAGACCACTTACTATAGAAACTATTGTCTATAATTGAAGTTTCATTATGTCACTCCTTCGGCAGAAAAAAATCCCTATTTGCTTTTAATATGGAAACCAAGTGGCTGCCCAAGCCCCTCTGGGATTGACTTACTTTTCAATCTGTTCCTCATACATTTGCTTCTGTGTTTCTATTTCCTTTCGCAGCTCCTGGACCATCTTCTGCAAAGATTCAAGTTCCTCTTCACCAGAGATTTTTCTCCCAGGCCCAGTTTCAGAGTTTAGGCTGGCAAGAGCATCTCTCTTGGAGTCACAGGCCTGGGGTGAGAGTGTACTGGCTTCATCCCCAGGGGACCCGGGCTGGGTGGGGACATTATCATAAGTGGAAGTCCGCTGGGAGTCGAAAAACTGCGGCACACCTTGAGACATCGTTCTCCTGTGTCCATCCCCAGCCTTTGCCTCCAAAGAAGATGACCAGAATTCATTTTTAAAGATCTCTGCTTTGCAGCTGTTGGCACCTTGCAAAGCGGAGGTCAAGAAGCATTTCCGGTTTGGGAGTGTCTGAGTCCTTTTTCGTGATTGCAGCTTCCAATCTCCTGGCTTGTCCCTGGATGCTTTGTCTTCTAGACACCCATCGTTTGGCTGTTGTCCAGTGGGGCTGGTTGCATCTGAGTCACTGGCCTAAAAATAAAAAATGGCCATGGATGTTACATGGGTTTTTGTCACATATGTCATGTTCTCAGGATAAGGATGAGAAACTTGAAAGAAGGCATCTCCTGGGTGTGCATCTATGAAACTCTAGAAGACCATCTCTTTTATTTCCTTGGTATTTTATTAATTACTATATTTTAGATTAGAGGATAACTACTTAACAATATTGTGATGATCTCTGCCACACATCAACATGAATTGGCCATAGGTATACATATGTCCCTTCCTTCTTGAACCCCTCTTCCATCATCCACCCCATCCCACCCCTCTAGATTGTCACAGAGGACTGACTTTGAGTTCCCTGCATCTTACATTAGACTCCCAGTGGCAATGTATTTTACATATGGCAATGTATATGTTTCAATGCTATTCTCTCAAATCATTCCCCCTACTTCCCCCACTGTGTCCAAAAGTCTGTTCCTTATGACTGTGTCTCTTGCTGTCCTGCATACAGGATTGTCAATACTATCTTTCTAGATTCTATATATATGTATTAATATATGATATTTACCTTTATGACTTACTTCACTCTGCATGATAAGCTCTAGGTTCATCCACCTCATTAGAACTGACTCAAATGCATTTCTTTTATAGCTGAGTAATATTCTATTGTGTATATGTACCACACCTTCTTTACCCATTCATCTGTTGATGGACATCTAGGTTGCTTCCATGTCCTAGCTATTGTAAATAGTACTGCAGTGAACATTGGAGTACATGTGTATTTTTCAGTTATGGTTTCCTCAGAATATATGTCCAGTAGTAGGACTGCTGGGCTATATGGTAGTTTTATTGCTAGTTTATTACGGAATCTCCAGACTGTTCTTCATAGTGGCTGTATCAATTTGCATTCCCACGAACAGTGTAGGAGGGGTCCCTTTTCTCTGCACTCTCTAGCACTTATTGTTTGTAGACTTTTTGATGATGACCATTCTGACTGGTGTAAGATGATACCTCAATGTAGTTTTGACTGGCATTTCTCTAATAATGAGCAATGTTGAGCATCTTTTCATGAGTTCCTTAGCCATCTATATGTCTTCTTTGGAGAAATGTCTGTTTAGGTAAGAAGACCATCTCTTAATTTGTCATATTAGTTGATTTTCCGCCTGGCACTTTTTTCAGAAGAATATTACATTAATACTTGAAGGAACTCGTGCTTTAGAAGTGAAATGCTGACTAAAATCAATTGCTTGTGGGAAGGAGTCCTAAAATAGGATCTTTTAAAATAATCTTAGAATGGGGAGGCTTTTTCATGACCAAAATCCAGAAGCCATAAAAGAAAAGTTTGATAAGTTAAATCTACATGGGTTTCCATGATTTCCCAAATTAAAAGTAAGCCACAGAAATCACTACATGCTAAATCAAAAAAGAATAAACAAACTAACAAAAATATTTGCAATGCATATCACAGACAATAGGCTATTTTCCCTAATACATAAAGTTCATAAAATTTGAGAAGACGACCAATAATCAATAGAAACACAGGCAAAGAACAAGGTCAGATGGTTTATGTAGGAAAATGCAACTGGCCCTTACACATAAGAAAACAATGTTTGGATTCTCTTACAACAGGAAAAATTCAAAGTTAAAATTAATGAAATATCAGTTCTTTCCTATCAGATGGGAACCCCCACCCCCTGAAAGCTAACATGCTCTGCTGGGGAAAGTGTAGGGAAATAGATTATTTTATGCATCACTGGTGGAAGTACAAAAGAGGACAACCACTATTTAACAATTTTAATCAAAATTGCATATTATAAATCTATTTACTTTCTGACCCATCAATCCCACTTTGAGGAATTTATCCCAGAAATATATCTGTCTGAGCATGAAATGAAGCATGGTCAAGATTATTTATGGCATCCTTGTTTGTAGTATAAAGGAATAAAAGTAACCTGCTCATCCACAGGGGCTGGCTGAGTAGATCATGGTACATGCACAGAATACAATACCATGTGTGTTAGTCACTCAGTCACGTCCGACTCTGTGACCACATGGACTGTGGTCTGCCAGGCTCCTCTACCCATGGAATTCTCCAGGCAAGAATATTGGAGTGGGTTGCCATGCCCTTCTCTAGGGGATCTTCTTGACCCGGGGATCAAACCTGGGTCTTCTGCATTGCAGGCAAATTCTTTACCATCATACATCTGCCCAAAACACGGTTTATGAAGTTGCTGTCTATGGATTGACATGAAAATGTCTCCAGGGTATGCCATTAAACAGAAAAATTCAAGGTACAAAGTAGCATGTGTGTGTGCCTGTGTGTGTGTGTGTAAAGGGAGAGAATGAGTATGTTATACCTTGTATAAAAAGGGAGGTAAATAACAGTTTACATTCATATTTACTTATATTTTCATAAAGGAACATTGGAAGGACAAAAAAGGAACTGATAAAGTCAGGGAAGAATGAGGTGGGTGGAGAGAGCAGAGGGAGCTGAAGTTCTAAACATATCTCTTTTTCTTTTGTTTTGATGTTTTTGTATCATGGATATATATGTTTAGATTAAATTAAGAAGAAAGAGAAAAAGACTGAGCCCTAGGTGTAAAATCAGAAAATCAGGGCTCAAGCTGTCATTTGAGGCTTCTAACTTATCACCTGCTTCAGCAACCCCACCTGGAATCCGAAGGGCCTGGAACCTGAGATGCAAACTAGATCTAAGTCCCACCCTCCTGCCATTCTATTACCATCACCTTGGGCTAGCTGGTCCACCTCCCTGAGACTCAGCACCTCAGCTATAAGATGTGTAAGATAAATTCTGCCCTACAGAGGAAGGGTGACGACTCCAGACATGATCTATTTAAGGTCTCCAGCACAGTGCCTCTCCATCACTGTTACAACAAATACAGAAACCTGTCAAATGAGCAAAATGGCCACTCTCAAGGATGTCTAGGATGATTTCATTATAGGAAGTAGGAACATTTCTAAATATTAATATGGTTTTAGAGTATTAGTAAGATGCACTGTATCCAGACAGGCATCACCCAAGAAAAATCACAACCACCACCACCTTTTTCTCAATACTTTCCTCATCATCCACAGGATTAACAGTACTGTAAGCAACTGACAGCGCCTGGTCAACCGGGAATTTTAGATTCATTACTTGGTCACACATCAAGAATCAAGCTGCTACGTAAAGTTCACGTGTTCTTTTAAAAAATATTTGTTTCTAAAAAGATGTAAAAATAGTTGAGCTTTGTAAATTGTTGGCCTTAGTCTAAATTTCAGAGTCTGCAGAGTGTTTTGACATTGTGAACGTGAGCCGCAATCCTTCAGTACAAATGAGGGGGTTGACATTGCTGAGACAGCTTATCAGGGAAAGGGAAATAATACACAAACACATCACATACTCTGAGAAAGAAATCACGTTTCATGGCTTAGCAGGAAACAAGTTCTCTCTGGACTTTCACCCGGAATTTTCAACAACTCTCACTGAAACGTTTACACTGTGGTATACATTAATTTCCCTATCAAACTTCCCCAGACTGCATTTGAAAGGGTTTCCTTTTTAATGTGGGCTTCAGTGAGGACTCCTATTGCTCAGTCATTGGGGGATGGGCACACATGTCACTAATCTCATCTCCAGGATTCCAACAGAAACTAGATTTTGAAAGAGGCCAGGCTTTCAAGATGCATTCAAATGAGTCTATACCAGCTGCGTCCACTGCCACAGCATCACCCAGGACTCCCAGATTGCCAGCCCCAGAGCAGCTCTTACATGGAATGACCTGGACTGAAGGAAGAGTTGGATGGAAAGAGGAAGGTTTTCTACACCTTACCATGTTACTTACACTGTCTGTCCTAGAAACTGGAGGGTCCTCAGTGGCATCCCAGCCCACAGAGCTTCGTGCAACTGGAGGTTTCTTGGGGTCATTTTGGGGGGCAGGGGGTGATAAAGGTGCATCCTTGGACTTGGGGAAAAGGACTTCGTGGTCTCTGATCATCATGGTCATCACTCTTTGGATTTGAGGAGTCCCTGAAAGAAAGAAGAAAGAGATTTTTAGTGCAAGACCATGGGCAGGGGCCAGGCAGCCCTCAAGGGTCTCCACCCATGAGATGTCACTAAACTTGACTCTAAAACTACATGGCCCCCAAGGACTTCAGTTGTTCCTCACAGGACCCTTCTTAATTGCTTGGGATATGGGATCCTGGTGAAAAGGATGAGACAGGAGGATATGGGACTGGGGTGAAAAAGGGTTGTTTTCAGCCTATAGTCCTCTGCATCATTCCTTTGATTAGGAAATAGGGAATATGACAAGAAAGAAAATGAAGACATCTTTCTCTCCTGATGTGGTCCTCAATAGGACATCTGATTTCTTACTGCACACATACCAAATGTGTGCCAAGCATACTGTCTCCCCCAAATCATAGCAGACATCAATGACATCCTGACTCTGTGTCAGGATTCTTGTTCACTGAACTAAGACACAGCCTCAAAAGTCTTTTCAGCACAGCTTTACAAGTAGCTTCTTTCTGAGGTGTCTTATAAAATCATATTTGTTCGCACTCTCTGGTTAAGGGTGTTTAAAAATACTAAAAGACTAAGAAACACCAGCTAAATGTTTTTGTGCTAGCCTACCATACTGTGTGATGACTGGTAAATCTCTAACCTCTCTGCTCTGCTGTGACCCAGAAAATAAACTGCCTGCTGATTTCACAGGGTTATTTTACAACTCAGATAAGATAATCGACAGAAAATGCTCAGCAAATTGCAGAGCAATTTGGTAATGATGTCACTGTTATTACTTCCTCTGCCCCTGCCATCACCACGGGACCAGTAGTACCTCTCATGATCACAGCAGGGTCCTCGACCTTCGACCTGATGAGATTTACACCAATCACAGTAGCCAGATTGTCCACGCTCATTTTGTTAACTCCACAGTTCAGCTGGATTTCATGGAGGAACCTGCGGGCAGCCAGGATATCCCAGAGTGGGAGACAAGAAGATGCCACAAGGAAGTACTTCCAGGTACCAACAAGATCACAGAGGTGTGTCTCAACTCCTTCCTCCTGGTCTCAGGAATGGGACCAGTCTGCTCTGACTACAAGAATTTGAATTTGTCTTGAAAGATTCAAGATCAAGGAAGACAAGAAACAAGCAGCCCAGCTGCTGAGGGTGGTGTAGGGGCCCAGGGTGGGTAGGAAGTTACATTGGCAGGAAGCAGGGTCTAGTGCAAGGAGCTAAGAGACAAGGAAGACTAAAATGGGTGTGGACCATGCCTAGTCTTGACTTTACAGGCTTATCTCCCAGGCTCTCTGTACATCCCAGCTGAGTCTCCAGAGGAAAAAATGTTATAGTGAGATTTCATAAATGGGAATTCATGTTGCCTCCTTGCTCTCGTCCTCAGACTACAGCACTGAGCATCTCAAATTTTCAGCAGGTGCTCAAAAACTAACAATGAATTTTCACTATAATTTTACCCAGTTGAGGCATGAAGCTCTCAGACTCATTTAAAAAAAAAGAAAAAGAAAAAACCTGAAAAGATCAGCAAAGGGATTTCTAAATGCTATCTCTAAAAAACACTTTTAAATGAATAGGCTGAAGCAATATAAAATTTCCAACATGGAGAAATTCTCAGAGAAGGGTGTGGTGTCCAAATGAGGAAATTTTAATTTTATGGAATATTAAGGAGTCATATATAACCCTATTTTGCGACATATGAAAATTCTCAAACTATAACATTTAGCCAAAAGAAGCAGGCTACAAATATATATATATTATTAATATATATACATATTTCTAATTTGGTATAAAAATTGTTTCCATATTATTTATATTGATATATGTGAAGATCTAGCACAGAGACAACAACATTCAAAGGAAACACGTTCAAATGTTAATAGTGATTTTTGCTGGGTGAGCAGACTTGGGGTAATTTTTGTTTATATACAGTACTTTGTATTTTGTTGGTTTCCAAACCAAGCATCTATCTCTTTTATAATTTGGAAACTATAAAAAAAATTAAAAAAAAAATAAAGAGAAATTCAGCTATGTCTGGGGTGGAGATCCAGGCTCCCAACTCAGCCTGATCTGGGTCAATCCACATACCATGTTTTGCCACAAAGTCGGCACACAGCAGGTCCTCAGAAAGGGAACTAAGAAAGGTGGCCTGGAATGAATGCCTCTGGGGTGCTAAGTTATGGTCCAGAGTCAGGAAGATGGGAGGTAATTCTAGAAAAATTATAAAGATTCTGGGTTCTAATGCCTGTCCCAGGATTCTGGGCAGCCCTGGAGTAGGTTTGAAGGAGGATGTATGTTTCCTTTTTGTGTTGATAAGATTTTCAGGGAATCCTTTAAATTATCTTGGGGTCACAGGAAACTACCTCAGTGGTATGTGAATAGAGTTGAACTTCCAAAGGTCTGGACCAGAATCTCTTGAGTTCACAGAGATACTCTTTCCTCCTCTAAGGGGGCCATCTTTCTGGTGTGGCTGAAAATTATGGAGCTGATTCCAGGGGCCTCTTACCTGCAGATGTAGCTCAGGAGGCTATAGTTGTCTCGGGGAAGAATGGAGAGCTGTTTCATCAACTCCTGCTGGGCCTGGGAAGAGATTTCAACACCAGTGAATGAAGCTGCTAACTTGCCAGCAATGGGACCCTGGAACATAGCTGGAGTTTATCTATGAAGGAGCTTTGGCAGTCAATCTTGTCTATCTCCATGGTTTTCTATGTTTTTTAAAAAAATGTTTTTGAAATAACTATAAATCCACAGGAAGCTGCAAAAACAGCATGGACATGCTCATTGTTTTTTGTGCAGTGTATTTCTTTATTCATCTGCAATTATGCTCTCCTCCCCAACTCGGAGCTACTCTAAGGCAAGAACTAAGTGATACCATACTCACAATAATTGTTTGTTTTGTAAATGCTAGAGATGTAACACTCCAATAAAGAACTGGACCAGAACCAAATGCCCCCAAGTAACTTCAAATGTATTGAGAAGGAGGATGCTTCTGAGAACTGGGATTTCAAATAATATGGTTTTCCTGGAACACACTGGGACACAAGGCCAGGATGACCAACCCGGAGGGCAGGTGAGAGGTCTGAAGGTTAGAACTCCATGATCACACTGATCATCAGAGAGAGTCATACAAGGAGTGCATGTGCCAGGAAGACGAAGGACTGCAAACTTTCTTTCCTCTGCTCACTCATAGCACCTGTAGGGGCTGCCGTCACTATTTTTTAAAGATTTTTTTTAAATGTGGATCATTATTATTTACTGAATTTGTTACATTGTTGCTTCTATTTTATGTTTTGGTTGCTTTTGGCTGCAAGGCATGTGGAATCTTAGCTCCCTAACCAGGGATGGAACCCACACCCCCTGCACTGGAAAGTGAAGTCTTAACCCCTGGACCACCAGGGAAGTCCCGAATCAATAATTTTAAAATGTCACTCACTTGTTACACATATCCCTTGGTTCTCAAAATGATCCTGTCATGAAATCTAAGTTTGTAGTATCTAATATAACAGCAACTTGCCATATGTGACTATTATGAAATACAATAAAATTAGAAATTTTGTTCCTTAGTTGCACTAGCCACATTTCAAGTACCTAGTGGCCACATACAATGAGCAGTTACTACATTGGACAGTGCAGTTATGTAACAGTTCAATCATTGTAGAAAGTTCTCTTGGTCTAAGTAAATAAGTCTAAGTAAATAAACTGAGTCTTATAGAAGATTCATCATTTGCTATCAATAAATGGCAAAATCAAAGTTAAATTTATTGCAAGTTTTTCTGTGCACCATTTTGCCGGAGAGAGCTTTTAACATAGTAGTGCTAAACACAAATCTCCTCCTGCCCCCAATGTGGGGAGTTAGACCCCTTTATTAGCTGTGTGTTATTGGAGAAGACTCTTATGTGGTGTTGGAGAAGACTCTTCAGAGTCCCTTGGACTACAGGGAGATCCAACTAGTCCATCCTAAAGGAAATCAGTCCTGTGCTCATTGGAAGGACTGATGCTGAAGCTGAAACTCCAATACTTTGGTCACCTCATGCGAAGAGTTGACTCATTAGAAAAAACCCTGATGCTGGGAGGGATTGGGGCAGGAGGAGAAGGGGACAACAGAGAATGAGATGGCTGGATAGCATCACCGACTTGATGGACTTGAGTTTGGGTAAACTCCAGGAGTTGGTGATAGACAGGGAGGCCTGGAATGCTGCGATTCATTCAGTCGACTGAGCGACTGAATTGAACTGAACTGATTAGCTGTGTAATACAAACGCATTCATGGACCATTTAGTTTTGCAAATCTAAAAACCATGAAGGTTTTATTGTTGTCAGTAGGGTTTTACTGGTTTCTTTTGCTGGTTGGTTAGTTTGTTTAACATGATTCTAATGTAGTTAACTGTTGACTGTAAGGCCTTTAAGGAAACAATTTACCTGAGGATCAAAACTCCTGCTGGTGAGGAGCTTTGTGATGTTGCAGACAGGCACTGTAGGCCCTGCAGGCAGCTGTGGCTGAAATGAGCCAAGGAAAGTTCCTGTCCTTCCTCTCCCTGGCATCTGTTCCTCATATACCCACGCCTGTCATGCATGGTATCACAAAGCTAGAACACTTGGACACTGCATCTGCCCTCCAGGTTGGTCAGTCTGTCTTTGTGTTCCAGCGGGTTTCAGCAAGGCCATATTGCTTGAAACCTTCTCAGAAGCATCCTCCTTCTCTTACTAGCTTTAAGGTGACTTGAGGTTATTTGATGATAGTCCAGTTCTTTGTTGGAGTGTGACATCCCATAAAGACTGTCACCATGATTGGCTTCATTTGACTTTTCGCTGTTGAGAAAGTTCTAGTTTAACAAAGTATCTCACCAAAAGGTCCACTCTTGACCCACTATTGCTTGCCTACCAGACTAGTGTTCAGTAACCATTACCTTTTTCCAAAGTAGGACAACTTACTGTAATGACATACAAACCTTTGCCTCATCTGAATTCATGAGCTGCCCACAGAGCAGGAACCCATCGTACTGGCTCCAGGGAACCACGGGCTCTGGGAGGTCTCGGAGGTAAAGCTTCAGCAGGGAAGCCACCGTGTGGACGTCTGTATCTCTGGAGGAAAATAAGCAATGCTTTTTGAAAGTAAAGTTCCAGAATTCTGCTCACCTCCCTGCTGGTGATCCACTGAATAAAATCCCAGGTCCCCAAAAGGAAATTTTGCAAAGGAGTAGGGTTTGATAAAGATGCATTTGACTAAAATATTTTTGCTACTCCCCCTTCTGGAATAACAATCCCCAACACCATTTCCTTTATCTCTTCTACCTAAGTGCCTCAAAGATAAGTTGAAGGTTTACTTTTCCATTAAACCTGTTAAACTATCTAGCCTTCATTGCTTTCTTCTTTCTCTAAGTCACTTAGTATATTACAATTTAGCATTTTCTATGTAGTCTATAGTTTTTCATGCAATAACTCATTTATAGCTATGGCCCATTGTTCTCTTTAATCCCTCAGAAAGCTTAACATAGTTCTGGGGTTCATTCATATATTTACACAATCATTTATTCCACACTTACTCTCAACAGTAAGTGTTGAGAGAATCTACTAGGTTCAAGATACTATGTCAGATATAGGGATTTCAGCAGTGAACCTGGGAGACACACAAGACCCCTGTCCTCATGGAGTGAGAAAGCTGTACAGACTCAAATGTTACCAAGTCATTACAATACTGTGTGGTTAGTGCAAAGAAAAAGGAAGTTCTGGACCTGGGACTGCATCAAAATGTAGAAAAGGGCTATCCAACATAGAACTGGGGAGTCCTAGGAGACCCTTCAGAAAAGATTTGAAGAATGATGAGGAATTAGGGCATGGGGCAGGCAGCACATGTATCAACAAGGAGGATGGATGCAAGACTGGGTAAACCATGGCCCAGGAGCCAAATCTGGCCTATTGCCTTTATGTGTATATCCTGTGAGCTAGAATGGGTTTTACATTTTTAAATGGCTGGAGGGGGTGGGGCGTGCTCAAAAGAAGAATATTTCATGGCAAGTGAAAAATTATATGAAATTTTAATTTCAGCATCCATAAACAAATTGTTACAGGAACACAGCCATGCTCATTCATTTTTGTATTGTCTTCAGCTGATTTCATGTTATAAGAACAGAGTTGAGTAGCTGCAGTAGATATTGTCTGACCCACAAAGCCTAAATATTTCATTTATGGCCCTTTAAGAAAAGTCTACTGATCCCTGGGGTTTATGGAGTTATTGCATTTATCCCACAGCTCTATAAGAGAAAATGAGTCTGAATATACCATAAACTTGAAGCTCAATAGTGAAAAAAATATGCGTATTTCATATCAAGGAAAACTAGTCATGAACCCCACTATTCATAGCGGCACTGTTTATAATAGCCAAGACATGGAAGCAACCTAAATGTCCATTGACAGATGAATGGATAAAGAAGATGTGCTACATATATGCACAATGGAATGTTACTCTGCCTTTAAAAAAATATTATAATGCCATTTGCAGCAACATGGATGGATCTAGAGATTATACTAAGTAAAGTAAGGCAGATAGAGAAAGACAAATATACGCTATTGCTTACATGTGGAATCTAAAACAATGATACAAATGGACTTACTTACAAAACAGAAATAGACTCATAGATATAGAACACAAATTCATGGTTAGCAAAGGAAGAAAGGGGGTTGGGGTAAATCGGGATCTGGGACTAACACATACACACTACTACATATAAAGTAAGTAAATAAAAAGGACTACTGCATAGCACAGGGGACTACAGTCCATATCTTGTAATCACCTATAATGGAAGAGAGTCTGAAAAAGAATAGATATATATGTGTGTGTAACTGAATCACTTTGCTGTACACTCCAAACACTGTAAATCAACTATGCTTCAATTAAAAAAGAAAGAAAAAGAAAAACTGGTGTGTGTAAGAGACAGCCCCAGTGGTATTTTGAAAAGCTGTGATGTGGTAAAAGGTTCAGCTGATCTGAGTGCTTCCTGGACATCAGCAACGGGGGATACAAAAGTGGATGGGCTGGGTGGGAATGACTCTTGGAGGAGGGCCAGGAGGGGTGGATGTGAGTGTGAGGAGGAGAAGGCAGGCATTTGAGGCCTCAGAAACCAGAACATCATGGCTTGACTGTGGAGCTCTCTGTCTTGATGTTTCATGTAAATGTTTTCTCTTTGGTTTGTTTTGATGGCTGGTGGTTGGAGCTGCCTTCTGAAAAGGCTCCAGCCTTTGTGGCCCGTGAACTCTAACTCCAAAGCAGAACACAGAGCCCTGCCTCTGCTCCACTGCTGCCTTCAGGAAATCAGGGGTGGGGACTACTCACTTAAAGGTGGGGGTTCTGGAAAAGACTTCCCTGCTGAGTCACTGCCTAAAAATACCTTGGCAAAGCCCTCTCATCAAAATGCAGGAGAAGTTCCCCAGAAAATAGCATCTGACACTTTGCAGAGCAGCATTCTCCTAAGTCCAGAAATCTCCTTTGTCCTAATGCCCCTGAATCACTGTCCACACAGTGGGCGTCTCTGGTTTGATTGAAGCCCTTCCCCCACCCCACATCCTCTAATCTTACTCTGCAAGTGCCCCAGAATCCCTCAAAGTCCTGCCCCTCCTTTCCCCACCCTGTTCCAGAGGGCCATCGTCTTTTGCCAGGATTCTGCCCCAGCCCCTATTTGGCCTCCTACCGCCATGACTCCATTCTCCAATGCATCGTCCATCAGGTGGCACAGCCCCCAAAACTCAGAACACACCCGCAGAACAAATATGGAAAACAAAGAATTTGAAATGAGAGAAATAGTATAGATAATACATTAAGAACCAGAAACTTTTGAAGATAAACACAGAAACAAAAAAGTCAAACTCTATAGATAGCTCAATCAGAAGGTAATAACCAACATTAGAAAAGAGAAAGGGATTGTAACCACAGATACAGGATTGATACTTCAAAGTTATCATCAAAAAGCACAATTAGCCATCTAAATCATCATAGAATATTGTAACCCACTGAATGCTTTCCAGTTCATTTTGTCAGGGGAAGATAATTCTGCTTGGCTTGGCTAAATACTCAGGCTTGTTTATTGTATATCAGATTAAGTGCCATTTTGGGGTGAAAGAAAGAATACTGGAGTGGGCTGCCATGCCCTCCTCCCAGGGGATCTTCCCAACCCAGGGATCGAACCCAGGTCTCCTGCATTGCAGGCGGATTCTTTACTGTCTGAGCCTCCAGGGAAGCCCCCTAAATCCAGTAGATGACGTCAAAAGCCCCCTGCTGAAAAGAAAAATGATGAAAAAATGAAACCAAAAATAGATGAAAAAAATACTGTCTATTTTTCATTTTTTGGCACTTAACACAATAGAACTATACAGTTTTGTTTCTAAGTTTTTGGTTTAATGTCTGTGCCCCCATGGTTACAGAACTGGCTTGAATATCATGGTTATAGTCTAAATTTCCAGCATGATTTTTCCTGAGTTTGCTTTTCCTCCAATCTAATGAAATGTCCTCATATATATATATATATATATATATTTTTTTTTTTTTAATCAAAGACTAAGAACAAGTCAGGAACCAAGTGACTTCTGAGTTCAATGACTGACCCATCAGAGATTAGCCAAGGCCTCTCAGATGGTCTGTCGACCCTCGTGTTGTAACACTGACCTTATAATGTGGCACACTTGTCCTTTTCTCACAGAAATATAGGTATGGGAAGTGAATCATATATGGGCAGTATCCAGCCCAGAAGTAACTTGACAAAGACATTTAAAAATTCTTATTTATATGTTTAATGAGAACCAGATACATCTGCAGTAGAACCTACCAAATAAGAGCACCTTTGTTTTTCTTCTTTCTAGTGAGGTAATTCAGGGAATCTGATGGTGGGATGTAGAAGATCTAGACAAGTACCCTAGGGGTCACGTGGCCCCAAGAGTCAGCCGTGAAGAGCCTTAGGTGACCCTTCTTACTTTGGATGTGTAAATTCTATTACTCAGTCCTAGGAGGGTGGAGCAATCAGACAAGGTGTGTGTAACTCTCCTCCCTCCGGCCCCAAATATTTCACAGGAATCAAAGACTCAACTCCAACCACCCAGGCTGACTTTATAGATGTAGGAGCTCAAGCCTCGGGCAGGTGTTTGGCAACTCCCATAATCACCTCTAGTCCTCCTGGCTGACTGCTCTCATTACTTTAGCAATAACCCATCTGCATCTTTTGATCCACGCAAAGCTCGTTAAAAACATAAGAAGAAAAGTCAGTGTGAAGGTAGTGTGCTTGATTGAACAGGTGCCTGATGGTGAAATGTGATTTATGGTCCTCCCAGAAAGCTCTGTAAATTTGATGCCCGTAACCTGCTCTCATTCCAGTAACATCTTTGCCTGTTGCTTTCCTGTTAAAACACAGCACCTTGATAAATTAACCTATTGGATGCCAAGGACAGCAGAGACAGACATATGATGCTCCAAACCAAGATAGTGGCTGAGAATGGAGAGAAAGAGACAGGTCTCAGTGATGCTTCTGAAGGAGAGTGGGCATCATTGGTGGCTGGAGTGGGAGGTGAAGGAGAGGGAGGGTGAGATGGTCGGCACAGTACCACACTTAGCTGTTCATGGTTGTCCCAGGATCAGTCCTAGTTCTCCAATGTAAACAAGCTCCTGGGGGGATTTCAATCTTTGGAGACTGGTGAGAGTCCAGGCTCGGCTCACTAAACCTCGGTTTATGGGCTGCAGATTTGGAAAGAACAATGGCTCTTTCTTGCCAGCAGGACAAGTGTGTGCAGGCAACTGAGCAAATATTGCACAACAGGTCAAAAGTATACAATGTTGGTGGGGGTTGTGCCAGTTGAGCAGGGCAGAGAAGAAAACCTCGGCTGTGTAGCTGCAGTGGTTGGGGGCAGTGGGGAGGGCGAGGGTGGAAGAAACATCATTGCACCTGAAATGCCCCAAACGGGGCTGGGCAACCTCCAGAGACGAGACTGGGAGAGCACCAGGCTGCCATGATGTCAGTCTGTACTCCCTCCCAAAGGGTTCAGAATCAAGTTCAGAGTGGCACAGGACTGTGTTCCTACAAATAAACAAGAAGTCCTGGCCCTGGCTGTTTCTGGAAAGCCAAGGAAGACCATTGGAACCCTTGGATATTGACACGGTGTCTAATCCACCACCCCAAGTCTGCCCAGCCAGCTCTGCCATTCTCCATCCCTCATCTGCTCCAAATCGTGAGGCTTGAGCTAGGTCCCATCTTTCTCCCTTAGTCCGCATTCCCTCCCCATATCCTACATATCTGTTGACTGACCTGCAAGACCCTAGTCCTAGTTCATGTCCTCTCTCACATGAATGGTCAGCACACTTCTCTACCCATGCTCCAGGCTCCCAAATTTTGAGTTATGAGCAGAACAAAAGGCTTTTTCTGTTGCAAGCCAGGGATTTTGGCAGCATCTATGCAAGTCCCATGGCTCAACTGGTAGACAAAGGTCCTCTCAGCCAAGCAGGGCACAGGGGCGACAAGGTGAGCACAGCATACCTGTCAAAGGAGGGCCGCTCCCCCGCATCAAAAGCATCTCTCAGCTGCTTCACCAGGTTGTCCTGTCCAGGCAATCGGAAGATGCCCTCTTCGTTCAGACCATGCTCCAGGATGAACTCGGCACACTTCTCCACCAGGATGGGCACCAGGTGGGGGCCGAACTTCTGCTCATAAGCCACGGTCTCATCCAGGCGCTGGCCAAACACGGCTGGGAAGAGAGAAAGCAGAGCCTGCCCATCACTCCGATTTCCCTTGACAGAACTGAGCAGTCAAAGTGATAGGATTTTCTCCAATGATACTGAACAAAATATACAAGACACACCACACATCATATTTCCTGGGGCTATAAAGTGGGGGCTGTCCATTTGAGGCTGTCGGTCAGTCTGTTTGTCTACATTTATAGTATTTAAAAGAACAACTCACTTTTAATGACTGCTTGTCTTGTGCTAGGAATTGTGCTAAATTTGAACACCTTTCCTCACTTAATCTTGACAGCCAACTCCATGAGATAGTATTGTTATAACTGTCTTACTATTACAGATATAGAGCCTTAGAGGCGCTAATGAACTTGCCAAGGTCAGGTGCCAGGACACAGTACAAGTCAGAATTCACTCCCAGGCAGTAAACGCAAGAGAAGCAAGTAGGCCCTTTTGAATTCTGCTTGTGTCATTTAGCATTAAAGCATAATAGTCTATCATATGGATGTCTCATACTGTATTAAACCATCACAGCATTTTAAATAATTTATGTTGTTTACTATGTTCTACTATTGTTAACACTGCCACAGTGAACATGGTCACTAGCCTAGCAGAGTTCCTGGAATGTATTTAGTTCAATGTGTAATTTCTAATTAATTGCTTAATTGATTGATGAACATTTGGATTGGATGAACATTGGTTTTTTCTCCTTTTGAACTATTTCCTTAGGGCCAATTCTCACATGTGGAATTACTAGGTCAAGCCGTTTGAACATTTTAATGACTATGGTATACAAATGGTTTTCCAGAAATATTTTTCCGACTTACACTGCCTCCAGCGAAGCATGTGTGGGCCCGCCCCACCCAGTCCTGCCAGCATCTGGCTCTATAATTTCCCCACCCCAGCAGTCGAACAAGGTTAGTTTATGAATCAGGACACTGGCTGGCTACCCATTTCCCCACTAGGGCCCCATGCCCTTCATGTCTTCAGGTCAGAAGACGGTCACGGTTTCATTTCTGTCCTGCCTGGCTTTCTCTCCGGCATCATGAGGGCCCTGCCACGCTGACCACTCCAATCCCTGGGACGCTGTGCCCAAAGTCCTCTGGTTTTCCCCATGATTCTCTCTCTGGGTCCCCTGTATTTGGTCTCTAATTAATGTGGATGCCACATGTAAGAGCTGCAGCCATATCTCTGGAATCCGTGTCCTCTTTACTCCCCACTGCCTGAGGCCAAGCTGGACTCCTCCTTCCCTTATCTCCGCTGTGATCCCCTCACCTGTAATTGTTCAAAATCTTCCTGCTACTTACCTTTGTAAACAACTGGTCTACCCAAGTATGCTTCCATTTTTAACAGTCACCCACTTCTTCCCCAATGGCCACAGCAGCATTTTTCAAATTACCCCTCAAAGCTCCAGGGGATCCTCATCACCTCAGACCTGCTGGGCTGTTATCTGTTTTATTTACAGCATGCCAGTGAGACTGTCTGCTTAAATATTTCTGTGGGTAAAATCTGAAAACCAGGGCCAGCATCCCTTAGGTCGGCAACAGGACCAGCCCCCACCTACCTTTCTGGCCTGACTTCCTCTCACACCCTCAAAGGCACCTCACCCTGATGATCTCAAAGCTCACAGTACTCACCAGACCTCACGCCCTTGGACGGTCTCTTCTAGCTGCCCACTCTGCTCATCTCTCTCTTCCCTGTCTACTAAGATTCTATGTCTTCCTTGAAGCAAAAAGTGTTAGTCACTCAGTCATGTCTGACTCTGCGACCCCATGGACTGTAGCCTGCCAGGCTCCTCTGTCCACGGAATTCTCCAGGCAAGAATACTAGAGTGGGTTGCCATTTCCTTCTCCAGAGGATCTTCCCAGCCCAGGGATCGAACCCCAGTATCCTGCATTGCAGGGAGATTCTTCATCATTTGAGCCAGAAGGGAAGCCCATGTCTTCCTTGGCCCAACTCAAATACCATCGCCTCTGCCAAGACGTCCCTGACCCCGCCTGGGGGACTCCATCCTCACTCAGTGCTCCCACATCCCTTCTGTACTTTCCCAACCCTTTTCTCACTGGGTTACTACCACTCATCTGCGCTGTGTCCTCTGCAAGACTGTAGGCTCCCTAATGCCAGGAGTAGGCCAGGACAGTGACCTGCCCTCAGAGCTTCTACTTCTTCTCTTGTCATTCATGTAATCTCTCAGTCCAACTCAACCTGATTCCACCCTTATGTTTAGCATGGGGACAAGGCAGACAGTCAAACAATTTTGCAGAATTACTTAATGAGCTATGTCATCTTTAAGCAAGTGTTTTCCACAATTAATGACAATTTGGGCATTTCCGTAGTTTAAACCCTAATAGGGATGCCCTCAGTAAGTGAATTCAGCCTCACACTGGCATCTATTGAGTGCCTTGCATGTATCAGCAGCAGGCCATGTGGAATGGATTCTATAAACAAGGGCCTGTAAGAGGTGACTCTCGCTTTTAATTAGCCTACTACCAAGTTATGAAAATGAAAGGACCCATGCAAAATGATAAGAAACAATTAGAGGGTGTCAGGAAATATATAGAATTAGGTTTCTATTTATCTGTGAAATGTGCTAGCTAGATATTTTCACCAAATTGGAAGGAAACGATTAAATGATCTGACGTAAAGCATAGACAATGGGGCATTTAAAAAATTCCCTTTGAGAGTTCTAGGGAGGGCACCTTAGAGGGAAAAGCAGATGTGTTTCAGAGCAGTTGACATTTGGGCTCAAGGGGCCCACTGGATCACAGTAGAGAAAGATACCCCAAATACAAAGATGTCAGAGCTGTCAAATGTGAGGTCTATTTCTGAGGTCTTGAGGCAGATGATCTGAAATCAAGCTCCTTCTTACACACCTCTGCACAGCCTGTCCACCAGCTTTCCTCCTCATCTGAGTCTCTCAGCCTTCTTCCTGTGTTCATTGTCTCTTCCTCCCATGGTCCACAGTCATGACTTTCAATGTCATTCTTCCCAGAACATGCATTTCCCAACATCCCTTTACCCTCCAGCATCTCCTCAGGTCCAAATCTTCACCACACCCTTGAACCCACCACCCATCCCCTTCCCTCTGTCTTAGCAGGTGACCTTGTCTCATCTTGTCCTTATCTGCCCAAATGGAGGACATCATGAAAGAAACTGTGATCTCTAGTGCCTGCCTTTCCTATCCTCCCTCCTCTGTCCATCTGCCTGTCCTCTCTTGGAGGAAGAAAAGTACCCTGTGATTTTGTCTAAGATGATGTTTCTTAAACTGGGGTATCCTCTTTTTCTGTCTTTTCTAGGACTTCATTCTTTTTTGATATCTTAAATTGAAAGAGCATCTGCATCTAAGTCTTTACCAGTTTATTAAAGAATCATTTCGCACCCCAGCTCTCCTGCAATCAGTAAATACTTTCTTTCTTTTCTTTACCAAAAGTGAAGAAAAAGTGAATACTTTCTTTCTTTTCTTCTCATGCTTACAGAGAAACATGTATGCTTCTGAAAGAGTCATCCACCCTCATGGCTTCCATTGTTTCCCTTGTTATTCATGTAACCTCTCAATCTATTTCAATCTGGTATCCTCACCAGCATCTTCCCACCCAATCTGTTCCCTCAGATTTCTTATGCCCTCCTAATGGCCAAGTCTGACAAACCTAGATAGCATATTAAAAAGAAGAGACATTACTTTGCTGACAAAGATCCATATAGTCAAAGCTATGATTTTTCCAGTAGTCATGTATGGATGTGAGAGTTGGACCATAAAGAAAGTTGAGTGCTGAAGAACTGATGCTTTTGAACTGTGGTGTTGGAGAAGACTCTTGGACTGCACAGAGATCAAACCAGTCAATCCTAAAGGAAATCAATCTTGAATATTCATTGGAAGGACTGATGCTAAAGTTGAAGCTCCAATCCTTTGGCCACCAGATGAGAAGAGCTGACTCATTAGAAAAGACCCTGATACTGGGAAAGATTGAAGGCAGGAGGAGAAGGGGATGACAGAGGATGAGATGGTTGGATGGCATCACTGACTCGATGGACATATGAGTTTGAGTAAGCTCCGGGAGTTGGTGATGTGACTTTTTGGTCACAAAGGGTCAGACACAACTGAGCAGCTGAAATGAATTGACCTTCATTCATTCCACAATCTGCTGGTCTTCTCTGAAGACCAATGGTATTGGTTCTCCTTCCTTCCTCGAGACTTCCTCCCTACATGGCAATGAAATATCCACCCTCATTTGAGTCTCATCTCCCTGAAGGCTCCTCTGCAGGGTCCTGTACTTGCCCATCTTCTACCTGCTCCTTCAATGTGTCATTTCCTAGCATCCCAACTCAGACTGCTCCTCACTCTAGACGTTATCCTTGGGAAAGTTCATACAAGTCCACACATTTGGATAGCACCCATAAACTGACACAAATCTGCATATCTGGTCCAATTTCTTTCTATAGATATCATCTCTGCCTCTCTCATTTCTTTCTCTCTCTCCTCTATTCCTGTAAGCCCAATGTCTGATGGCAGTCCTCCCACTGTCTTCTCCAATCTTACTCTCATCCCACTCCCAACTCTCTGCTTCTCCTATAGACTTTCTCACAAGCAATAGCAATTCAGTCAGTCATTCAAGCAGTAGGCAGTTTCCTAGGCATTGAGAATACAAAGCCATTAACACAAGGTACTAACTACTGTACATTAGAATGATGTGCAACACCCCTCCTTCCTTCTTAACAGATCAGGACATTTTCAATTCACTTTAAACTGCCTCTCTTCTCAATCCTCACTCATACTGCAAACATTGTTGTAATGGGTGCTTCTGCAATTCTTTTTTTGCAAACTCCTTCCACTGGAATTCACAAAATCATTTGGCAAATATAGCCTGAGCATCTGCTGCAGCCCAGATTCTTTAGTAACTGTAGATTATGATAGAAGGAAAACCAGCCTTCCTCTTGAAAACTCTGGAGTGAAAGCCCTTCCTCCTACCCACTGGGAAACCTGATTTTCCTGTAGCCTGAACTCAAATGTCTT